CTGCACTCTTGAGTTGTAGCTTCCCCCCTTTATTAATTATATAATTATGAAGGAGCCAATAAATGTCTTTTCCCAATGGACTGTAAAGTGTCCATTTTGTAACTCACTAATTTCCTTGGGTTAGAGTAACTCACACATGTCCTAACACTCTAGTGAAACAAGCTGTTGGGGAAAAGCAGAGTCCAGTAAAATGGAGAAGGTGCAGAACTCATCTTTAAGTGAACTCATCTTGAAGTCACTTGAGTCAGATCTGCAAGAGTCTTAATCATCCTGTCTCCAGAAACTCTGGAGAACATGAAGTATGTTATCTGACTCCTATGTGACCACTTCTGAGTTTGGGTATAGGTCACTGCGATACTTCAGGGTTCAAATGAAGACTTTTTATGAAGTGTTCTCTGTTTAACCATTTTTGAATAAGCAGAAGGGTCAAGATTAAGGCAGAATTACAGGGTTCACAGTCTACTAGAAATCATGGATAGCAAACTAAAACAAGTTTCATTCCTTAACACAGTTATTATAAGCATGAAGGGAAGTAGTGGGTCGTGTGATTCTGTCAGCAATATAATTGTACCTGGAAACCTGCTTCCCTAAGTAAGCAAATGAGCAATTTCTGGCAAAAGTATTAAAGGTGATTCTGCAGGTTTCCTGAAATGGAAATAGTAACTAGAATGAGCAATGACTGGCACATATGTGGTGTGATGAAGGACTGTATACAGTTTCAGGTGCTGTCTGGGAGTTTGGTTGGATTCCAATTTCTGGGTCTCTCACTTTTTACAGAGACAAAGGGATAAATATTTGATTCAGGGCTTGTCTTGGGAAAGGTAAGACATGGTGGCTACATGCTCAGAATAAAATGTTAAATGGCTCTTTAATTTGTAGTTTTAAAATTTTTATAATACCTCAGAAATAGAAGTGTGTGAATTTTACTTTCATATATTTAAAGACATATTCTGGCCATTTACATAAAATGAATTAAATGAAATCTTCTAGAATTTGCACATTTGGTTCACTGAATTTCCTTATCCCATCCAGTGTCTAGAATATCTTTTGTTCCAACTCTAAGTTTCTTAATATATTCCACCCTCACTTTCCTGCCTCAGAAAGTTGACTTCACTTTGAAAAAAAATTTATTTTCTGAGATGGGTCTTGCTATCTAGGCCAGGCTGGCCTCAAACTCACAATCCTCCTGCCTCAGCCTCCTTGAGTGCTGAGGTTATTGGTGTGGGACACCATGCCCTTTTGCACTTCACTTTTGATGGCTAAGGATCTCCTGAAGCTTCCCAGGGTTACAAATGATCAGCTGATATTATTGGTGATGTAGATAGCATAAAATGTTGGGCTAAATATATCCTAATTTTGAACTTGAAGGAGAGACAGAGTTTCCTAAATTTTTTTATTACCTGAGCCGGATGTGGTAGTGCATGCCTATAATCCCAGGACTTGGGAGGCTGAGACAGGTGGATCGCTGCGAGTTCGAGGCCAGCCTGGCCTACATAGTTCAGGGGCAGCCTGAACTACCAAGTGAGACCCTGTCTCAAAAGCCTCACCCCCACAATTTTTTATATTGCCAAGCGCTAAGCCTGGCACAGAATAGGTACCAGTAATCTTTTGAAATATAATTGGGCTGATTTGAGTCTGGAAGAAAAGAAAGCTTATCATCAGCTTCAAGTCCATATAAAGGCTCTATTTTGAGCACTGTATATTAATGACTCAATATTCTTTAAGATTATTACTCAGCTTTGGAATAGTTCTGTCTTCTCTCTCCCTATACTTCAGTACACAAACATTAAACCCCCATGTCTCTGTTCCTCTGCTGAATTCTCCTACCTCACGGATGGTAGTCAGGGCTTTGGACTACTGTTTATTCCTTAGAAGACTGCTTGGGTGGGTTTCTAGCTAGCCAACTTTGTCTATAGTACCTTATTTTCCAGTGCTGATGAAAATGTAATCTTTTTTTTTTTTTTTGTACCGGGGATTGAACTTGGGACCTTGCGCTTGCAAGGCAGGTGGCGGCACCACTGAACTAAATCCCTGGCTGAAAATGTAATCTTACAGCGAGTAATTTGTGTAAGTTTATATTTAGAATAAAGGAAAAAGCTGCCATTAAAACAGTTCTTACAAACTAAATGTCAAAAAATAGGGAAATTGATGTTACTACTTGAGAGAACATGCTAAAGCATTAAAACTCATATTTTTGAACACACTAGTAACATTAAGTGTCAAAAACAAACATAACAAGGCATGAATGGTTCTGTCTGCATTACTGAACTAAGGGTGATTTTTAATCTTTCCATTTTCTGTTTTTGTTTTAGCAAGCTTAAGTTTTTCTACTAATCATAGATTCCCAAAAAAAGAAAATTGTGTTTAATCTGGGTTACTCAAATGTGAAACTGTTAGTGAAATACCAGAATAAGTCTCAACTAAAGATCTGAAGGGATCAATAATTAGTCAAATTGCCAGAAAAGTTTAATATAAAATCTCAACTAAAAATCTGAAGCCATTAAGTACTGTCAGAAAAGCTTGTTTCTAATTTTTTTTTTTTTTGGCACCGGGGATCGAACTCAGGATCTTGTGCTTTCGAGGCAGGCAGTGGAACCACTGAGCTAAATCTCCAGCCCAGCTTGTTTCTAATTATTGCTGGTCTGTTTGAGACAGTAACATGGAAGACCCTTTGGCATGCTTTTATTAATTTCATGGAGTTTTTAACCTTATTTTAGAAACTACAGTATAAGCATGTTAATTATAAATAATGGTATCATCAATTATTACCTTTGTATATACGACATATTAGTTGAATGGGTTTAAGAAACTGGTAGCCTTTGTTTTTTTTTTTTTGGTACCAGGATCAAACTCGGGACCTTGCGCTTTCCTGGCGGGCAAACTCAGTGGAACCACTGAGTTAATCCCCGGCAGCTTTGTCTTTTGGGCTTTCCCTATGGCCATTCATTCCTTAGGTTGAATTGATACAAATGCTATTATCTGCTGTGATCACTCTGAGTTGGATGTGCTAATTCAGTGTTTGCAGCCTTGCACCTATGGAGTCCCTTGCTCCTCCTGTACCTCACTGAGATCTGACATCATTTTTAGGTTATTTATTGAAGGCACCACACAAGTACCAGCTTTTAATCAGGAGGTACAGGAAGCACAAAGGCTACCTGAGATTGTGGCTAGACAGGTAAAGCAGATGGTGAATTTTAAGTTTGACTTTGGAAGGCTACATCATCTGGGCTTCTGCAGGTATCTTTGTAGCAGGGGTGGCTGCTGGAGTATTGCTGTTTTCTGTGCCGGTCTGTAAACACTGAAGACCTCCTACTCCCTAATAATCTGCCAGGTGATGGGATTACAAGACTAAGAAAAAGTTCTTTGCCCCTGAGAAGCCCATGACCTAGTACAATAAACAGCTCCATTTAAGGGAGGCACTTAATATGCTAGCTACCATTGGACACATTTTATACATCATCTCTAATTCTCAGTAAAATTCCTGCTGGTCACACAACAAATATTTACATGTATGGACTATGTGCCATGTATGGTGCCCTGGGAATAAAGGTAACAAGACAGGTGTGGAATGCTATTATGGCTGGTTAAACTATTTTGGACAGGTTAAGTAATTGTGGTGAAGATCACAGAAGTGGTAATAAAAAGCAGCCATTGGCTAGGGATTTAGCTCAACTGCACCACACCTGCCTGGCAAGCACAGGGTCTTGAGTTTGATCTCCGGTACAAAAAAAAAAAAAAAAAGAAAAAGAAATGACTTGTCTAAAGTTACTTAACATTACCCACCATGACTGGATATAAACCACCACATAAAACAAGAGTAAACAAACTTTTGGGTTGGGGATTTAGCTCAGTGGTTCCACTGCCTGCCTCACAAGTGCAAGGTCCAGTTTGATCCTAGGTACCAAAAAAAAAAAGCAGCCATTGTTTATTCATTAAAACATATGCCAAAGGGCTTAATATTATGTACATTCTTATTAAATCCTTAAAACAGCTTTGTGTGACAGGTGGTACTGCCCTCAACCATGGGTACCGGGGCTTGAACTCAGGGCCTCTACACTAAGCTACACCCCTAACCCCCACCCCCTTTAAAACATTCTAAATTTTGAGACAGGCTCTCACTAAACCTCTTCAGTTTTCGCAGGCTAGGCTCAAACTTGTGATCCTCCTGCCTCTGTCTTACTGAGTTCTGGGATTACAGGTGAGGTGTTATCTTCACTGTATAGGGGATTCTGACGTTCAGAGGCCTGAGATGACATAGTTTCTAAGTGGCAGAGCAAGGATGTGAATTTAGGTTTGCCTAAAACCAAATTTCATGCTGTTACCCACGATGTTATATAATCCATCTCTTCTTACATAGGGAGTAGCTGTGTGCCAGGTGTCTTACATATATTATCCCAGATCCTCACACCATCTTGGAAGGTAGTTGCTGCTGCTATCTTCTGAAACTGAGCCTCAGGAGTCAGGTAACTGCCCAGCTGGTGAATAGACCAGATCTGTCTGCCTCCTAAGACTGTTCTTTTTATAGTGCCAATATTCTTTCTCCTTTTCCAATATTTGAGTCTGGAAATTTTCTATTTGCCATTTATACTCACCTTGACTTAAGTGTAATACCCTCATGAGATGAAGCCCTAGGTGGTGTGGCCTTGGGCTGTGGGGCCTAGCCTTGCTTTGTAACCATTCAGCTGTATGCCTGTAAATGGGCCTTTCCTTCCCTTATTGATATTCTAGTACTTGTTCCCCAGGCTGTGCCTGCTGCAAGTCTCTCTCTCTCCCTCTTGAGACCTCACCCACAAGTGTTCTATACAGGCCTTATCTCCCACCACATGAAAACAGGGGTGTCCAGCAAGAGCGTCTCATATACACTGGTCGAATTTCACTCCAGCTGGTCTCTGCGTCCTCTCTAATGACCTTTCACCTGTACTTCTATCTGTACCCCTTGCCTCTATGCACCTTTCTATGCACACTCACATCCTCTTATAGAGCTATTTCAATTAGAAAAATTTTTTTTGCTTGAACCATTCATTGTTATCTGTCATTAAATTCTCTTGTTTTTATTCAAACATATTTCTATAAGTGTTTAGACCTACTATCCATTTTCTCCTTCTTTTGAAGCAGGTCACAAGGTAATATGAATAAATATGATTTTTGTAAAACAGATTATTTGTATATAAGTAGCACTTTCCAAAGTGATAAATCAGGCTGTCTCTGGGTGGTGGACTTGTTTTTAGACAGGGTCTCACTATATAGTTCAGGCTGGCCTTGAACTTGCAGTGATCCTCCTGCCTCAGTCTCCCAAGTGCTGGGATTACAGGTGGTGTGGGTAGTAGATTTTAGGTGAAGACTTTTATATTCTAACTGTTCTACAGGGAATGTTTATCACCTATGTAAACAGATGAAGGAGGAAAAAAAAGCTTTTCCTGTTTTTTAAAGTGATATACATTCATTATATGAATCTTATAAGTTATAGAACAGTATAAAAACCCCAAATTACTTGGAACCTTACTGCCCAGAGTTAGTCACTGTTAATGTTTTGGGATATCATCTTTTAGTTTGTGTGCATACATACACATTTTTTTGTGTGCCACTGGGAACTGAATCCATGCTCTGCAAGGACTGATTCTGAGCTACATCTCTAGCCCCTTTTTCATTTTGACAAAGGATCTTGAGAAGTTGCCCAGGCTGGCTTCAAACGTGTAGTCCTCCTGAGTATCTGGGATCATAGGCATGTACCATGGTGCCTGGCCACACACACACACTTTCCAATACTGAGACTGTCACGTTTTGTAGTCCTATTTCTATAAAATTAAAACTTTTCAAGCAGAACATTTAAATGGCTGTACAGTGTTGTGACACACAGATACCATGACTTCTTTAATGATTCCATTATTAAAACATTTGTGCTGCTCCACAATTTTTATTTTAGAATTACCAGTGGTCAATGCCTATTAAATGAACAGAACAATCCTACATAAATTTCCGATTATTTGTGATAGATATCTATAATTAGGGAGTCAAAGGGTATAAATTCAGGTGGTTCCTACATACTGTCAAATTAATTTCCAGGGACACTGGCCCAATATGTTTCTACGAGCAAATGTCCGAAAGTGCTTGTCTTCCTGCCAAGTGACCATAGTGTGCGGTGTTTCTGAGGTGTGACCCCTTTATGAGACATGGGTATGTATTTTTAATTGCATCTGTCTTTCCCCCTGGGGCAGGGATCCTGGGTTCATCACATCCAATAATGCTCAGTATGTAATAGGAATGCAAACAGTTGCTGAATGATCTTTTAAAAAATCATCTTTTTAAAAATTGCTGCCAAATTAAAAAAAAATTTTTGGCTCTTGCTTTAAAATTTTTTTCAGTTGTTTAGTGCATCTTAATGAACATTTGCAATTGTGCGACTGTCACCACTTTTAGAATGCTGTTGTCTCCCTGTCTACCCCTCTTCTTTCTTGTACTGTTTGAATGCAGGCTCTATTCTCACTCCTGAACTCGGATCTGCTTACTGGTGCTATAAATTTGCTTTATCTAGGAATTTCATATATATGGAATCATTTAATATGAAGTCTTCATTATTTGGCTTTCACAAGGAAATGATGTTTCTGAGAGATTCATTCATGTTGCAACTATTAGTAGTTAATTCCTTTTATTTCTGAGGTATAACTGATACACATCAAACTGTTAACTGAATGTATATAAGTTTTTCTTTGTTTTGTGTGTTTGAGACAGAGTCTCACTATGTAGTTCAAACTAGCCTTGAACTATGTAGCCTAGGCTGGCCTTAAACTTGTGGCAATCCTCCAGCCTCAGCCTCCCAAGTGTTGGGATTACAGGTGTGTGCCACCATGTCCACCTAATGTGTTAAGTTTTAACCCTTGTGTACATCTGTGAAGTTATCATTATGATCAAGAAAATGAAAATACCTTCTCCTCTACCACAGTTTAATGTCATTTGTGATCATTATTCTCCTTCCCAGGCAACCACTGATATGTACTGTCACTATAGATTAGTATGCACTTTTTTAGAATTTTATATAAATGGAATTATACACTACATATTTTTTCCTGGTCTAGCTTCTTTCATTCAGTTTATCCCAGTTCAATCCATATTGTGTTTATCAACAGTTCATTATTTTATTGCTGAAGAGAATTCCACTGTCTGGACATGTGCTGTTTTATCAGATTCCCAGTTTGATGGACATATGTATTATTCTAGTTTGAGACTACTAAGAATAATGCTGCAATGAACATTCCTGTAAAAGTGGGAAGTGCTTTTCATGGGAGATTTCTAGGATAGAATTACTGATTCAAATGGTAACTAGACATTTAGCTTCTTAAGAAACTGCCCAACATTTAAGAGGTTGTATAATTTTACAACCCCATCAGCCTGGTGCATAAAGGTTCCAGTTTCTCTACATCACTGCTGACTAGTGATTTCAGTTGTTCTGGTGGCTGTGTAATATATATCACTGTGCTTTTAATGTGTATTATCCTAATGCCTAGTGATAGAGTATCTTATATGCCTATTTGCTATTTGTACCTCTTATGTAGCATTTAGTCATATCACCTATTTAAAATTGGGTTATTAGTCTTTATTATTGAGTTGCAAGAGTTCTTTATATATTCTGGATTATGAATCTTTTATCAAAATGTTTTAGAAATCTTTTCTCTCAATCTTTTCATTTTCTTAAAAGTGTCTTGAAGAGCAATAGTTTTTAACTTTGAAGGAAGTCCAATTTGTCATTTTTTATTGTTTTTGCCAGAAGGCTCATGAAGATTTTTCCTACATCATATTCTAGATGTTTTTTACCTTCAGTTCTTACAGTTGGGTCTGTAATTTTGAGTTTACATTAATATCCATTAATTCCATTTATTTCAGGATCATTTTTGGTGATACTGGGGATTGAACTCTGGACTTTGCACTTGCCAGACAGGTGCGGCTCCACTGAGCTACATCCCTGGCCATCAGGGTCAGGATCATTTTTTTTTTTTTTTGGTACTGGGGATTGAACTTGGGTCCTTGCGCTTGCACAGCAGGCGGTGAAACCATTGAGCTAAATCCCTGGCCCCCTCAGGATCATTTCTGAAGACACTATCCTTTTTCCTTTGGTTGAAAATTAGTTCTTCATATATATGATTATATATGATTTTGGAGTATTTCTTTTTTATGTGTGTATATTTACCATGCTAACATGTCTTGATTATTGTTTGCTTTATAGTAAGTGTTGTTTTTTTGTGATCCCGGGTTGGAATCAAACCCAGGGCTGTGCATGTGCTACGTAATAAGCCCCATCTCCAGCCCAATATAGTAAATTTTGAAATTAAGAAGCCTCAGTCCTTCAACTTTGTTCTTTTAAAAATGTTTTTTGGCTATTCTATGTGCTTTTCATTTCTGTATAAATTTTAGGATCAGCTTATTAATTTATCCAACAAAAGACTGGTGGGATTCTGATTAGGGATTTGGGGAGAACCGAGTCCATGACTCATCATGGTTTCACTTTTTATAACACAAGACAAATTCAGAATGGCAAATTTACACAAAATAGCACGCATTTAACAACATTCTGTTTTTATAAGGCAAAATAATCCAAGTATTATAGTGATGTACATCATCTTCAAAGTGCCCTAGATCGAAAGGAATAAGGATCTTTAACAAATAATAGTAGTTGTCTAGACATTGGAAATACTATATTAAACAACACAGAGAATCACTGGTCTTATTGACTTCATATTTAAGTAAATGAAACAGTAAGTAAACACATTTATGGTAATTTAAGATAATGATTTTGATGGAAATAGAGAAATAGCGATTAGGGTGAAGGTTAGGTATACCAACTGGGTACTCATGGGAACTATGGCAAATGTGCTTCCCTCCTACTTCCATTAGAGACCATACATGTGGCTTGTTCTCACTTGCTCACAGTTGCTAGTCACAAATGTTCTCACAATAGCTGTTGACACTGGAAGGAAAAGAAGTATTCTATTACCTCTCATACCCACAGGACCTCCTTTTCAGATTGTTTAAATATATTGTATATAATTCTATAAAGCCAGAGCATCTTCCCTCCCTCAAATGGCTGGAATTAAACATCGTATATGTCCTAAGTCCCTGATTTTTACTGCAGCTTCTGTGTAGTACCTATGTGAATAGTGTGCCATTGTGGCAATTACACAGTGAGGATACAAGTTTTTTAAGCTATCTGTAGCTCTAGTCTCATCCCTGTTATTCTCAATATGCCTGCTTCCTGAAATGCCATCCCATTCATTCATCCTGTCCCTCCAAAACTATTCTACTGGGACTCTGGAACTCTTCTATAAAACCAGAAATTCCTACAATCCTACTAGCTTCCTCAAACACTCCTTTAACTAAACAAATGGATGACAGCTTTCTCAAGTAGAGGGTCTTTATTCTTAATATGATAAAAAATATTAATAGCCAATAATATTTATTGTGTACTTTGATGTACAAGTACTATAATACTGTACAGCAGTTTATTTCATGAAGTCATCTAAACACTACAACAATCTCATGAGTTAGGTAAAATTTTTTTGAATTAGGTAATTTTGTTCACATCTTTTTGTTTGTTTGGTACCGGGCATTGTTCGCATCTTATAGAAGTGAAACTGAGACAGTGACATTAAGTAAATTTCTTAAGGACACAGAGAGATGAAGCCAGCAATGGAATCTAGGCAATATTCTCATCTTAGGTAACACATAGATTATGCTATGTGGGGCTGGAGTTCTCTACTGCTGTGCTCTACAAAAGTACTTCCAGTATCTTAAAAAACCAACCTCTGTACTAGCTGTGGTACTGCATGCCTGTAATCTCAGCACTCAGGAGGCTGATGCAGGAGGATCACTGTGAGTCTGAGGCTAGCCTGGGCTACACAGTGAGTTCAAGGACAATTAAAGATATTGATACCTCAGAATATTCCTCTCCTCCTCTGTTCTTGCTGTTAGCTCAGGAAAATAAATGTTTTCTACATAGACAGTGTGTACATCATTATGTTTTAATAGTTTTTTGGTTTTTTTTTTTGGTACTGGGGATCAACCTTGCGCTGGCGAGGCAGGCGCTGGAACCACTGAGCTAAATCCCCGGTCCTTAATGGTTCTTTTGACTAAAGGACTTTCTCATAGCATCTCTAACCAATCCTTTATAATTTATCACTGAAAAATTTCATTTCCAAAATCACAATATTCTGCTCTCTTATGAGAATTCCCATTTATCTGCTCAAGTCCCTACTCCAACTGTTCTTCAATCACTTAAAACATTCAGCACCATTAAACTCATTTTTTTTTTTTTAACCTCTTCATTTTCTTCTAAAACATTATGCTTTTGACTGATACTATAATCTTCCATTTTAATCATTGTTACTATTACACTAACATCCTTTTTCAATTTGTTCTTTCAAAGCCTCCAACTAGAATCCAATAATCCATGTGTCCTGTTTCTGTGCACAGTCAACTGACATTTTAGCAATAATGAGCATTCTGTTTATTTAAGGTCATCTTTAATTTCTCTCAGCACTATTTTGAAGCTCTCAGTTGTAGGTATGATAGTCCTTTTACTATATTCCTCAGTATTCTTCTTGATGTGATTCCTGAATATAATTATTTCACTTCAGTTTCATTATTCGACTATTCATTCCTAGGATATGGAAATACTAATTTCTATATACTGAGCGTGTATTCTGAGACTATGCTAACTCAATAGTTCTGACATCTTTCATGTAATTCCTTGTATTGTTTCTATACAGGTCATATCATCTATACATAAGGCAGTTTTACTTCTTCCTTTCCAACTGGATTTTTTCCCCCAGTACTGGGGACTGAATATAGGGCCTTCCACCTGCCAGGCAAACACTCTACCACTGAGGTATGTCCCCAACTCTTTTTTTTTTTTGGTACTGGGGATCGACCCAACTCTTTTCAATAATTTTATTTTGAGGGCTGGGGATTTAGCTCAGTGGTGCCACTGCCTGCCTTGCAAGCCCAAGGTTCTGAGTTCAATTCCCGGTAAAAAATTTTATTTTGAGACAAGGTCCCAGTGAGTGCCCAGGCTGGCCTTCAACCTTATCTCAGCCTGAGTAACTGGGATTACAGGTGTACACCACCATGCCTGGCTCAGATTGTCTTTTTCTTGTCTTACTGCACTTGATAAGACCTTCAATTATAATGCTGATTAGAAATAGAGGTACAGAAACATCTTTGCCTGGTCCCTGATCTTAGAGAGAAGGCATTCAGTTTTTCAGCATGAATATGTTAACTGGAGGTACCCTCTATCAGACTGAAGACAATTGCTTCTATCCTTACTTGGGTGAGAATTATTGTGAATGGATATTGGATTTTGTTAATGATCATTTCTTTTTTTTTTTTTTTTTGGATTTTTGAGTCAGTGTCTCACTATGTAGTTCAGGCTAGCTTGAACTTACTATTTAGCCCAGGCTGGCCTTGAACTCATGGTGATCCTCCTGCCTTAGCCTCCTGAGTGTTGGGATTACAGGCGTCCACCACTACACCCAGCCTAATCATACTTTTTGATTGTTTATTTGACTAATATGTGGCATTACATTAACTGGTTTCAGATCTTTAGCCAGCCTTCCACTCCTGGGATAAATCTGACTTAGTCATAGTGTATAGTCTTTTTATATGTTGATGAGCTTGATGTGCTAATATTTTTCAGGCAGTTTGTACTGATGCTTATGAGCAATATTGTGGGAAACCTGGCCTAGGAGTGACTGGTTAAACTGCGAGGCAAAAATACATAGGCTCTGCGAAGAGTTAATGGTTAAACTGGGGGCAAAAGCAGGCAGACTCTGTGAGAAGTGAATGGTTAAACAAGTTTAGACTTTTAGGCATGTTGTGTCTGGCTGCAGTCCTTCCTCTTCCTCAAGTAAACTGCCTAGCCTGGAGACAGCTTCTTGGTCAAACTGCTTTTTTTCTCTCTTATACTGATATTCTAAATAAAAGCCTGAGAGTTTGAAGCTTTGGTGCTACTTCTGGGAGTGTCCCTAACTCTGGCTGCTCTCAGTTGAAATTGCCACTCTGGGCTCTTGATGACTGAACCAAGTCTCATCTTCAAGTAATCATTCATTCTCTATGCTGCCAGGGTTGCACAATGCAACACGATACTAGTTTGTAGTTTTCATTTCTTGGGATGTCTGCCTTTCTTTGGTATCAGGGTAATATTGGCTCTATAAATGAGTACAGAAGTAGTCCCTTTATTATTTTTTGAAAGTATTTGTAAAAGATTGGTACTATTTTCCCCCCTTAAATATACAGAATTCACCAGTAAAGTCATCTAGTCCTGGACTTTTCTTGTGGCGAAGACTTTTAATAACTAATTTAGAATCTTTACTTGACATAGGTCCACTCTGATTTTCCATTTCATCTTGAGTCAGTTTTGGTAATTTGAATTTTTCTAGGATTCTGTCCCATTTCATCTTAGGTGTGAAATGTAATGAAGTAATGCTTTCCATAATACTTCCTTATAATTCTTTAAACTTCTGCAGTGTCTATTGTGATGCCGCTTCCCATCTTTTGACTTTTATTTTCTCTCTCTCCAGATATGGTTGAAGATTTTTCTCTTTCTTTTTTAATCTTTCCAAAGAACTAACTTTTGGTTTCTTTTATTCTTTCACATAGTTTTCTATTTTATCAATTTCTACTGTAATTTATTATTTCCTTCTTACTTATTTGGGTCTTATTTACTCTTCTTTTTCTAGCTTAAGGTAGAAGCTTAGTTATTGATGTTAAGACCTTTTAAATCTGTAAATATCCCTTTAAGAACTGCTTTTAGCCAAGTGTGGCAGCGCATGCCTGTAATCCCAGCACTCAGGAGGCTGAGGCAGGAGGATCACTTCAAGTTTGAGGTCAGGCTGGACCACCTAGTGAGTTCAAGGCCAGCCAGAATTACACAGCAAGACCCTGTCTCAAAAAAATCAAAACAAACAGAAAGAAAGGAAGAAAGAAAAGAGCTGCTTTTTACTGTATCTCATATATTTTCATGTTCTTTTATTTTCATTAATTTCAAGATAATTTTTAATTTCTCTGTGGGTTTTTGTGTGTGGGGTTAAGACAGAGTCTCACTGTATAGTCCAGGCTGGCCTTGAACTCACTATGCAGCATAGTCTAGCCATCCTCCTGCTTTAGCCTCTCAAGTGGTGGGATTACATAGGTATGCACCACCATGCCTGGCTTTCCTGTGGTTTTTAATTTGACCCATGAGTCTTGAGGGTCTGTTAATTACCAAATACTTTGGGATTCCCAGATTTCTGTTATTGATTTCTACTTTAATTGCATTTTGGTCAGACAACATGTTTTATATTACTGCAATATGTTGAATTTATCTGTCTTGTTTTACTGGCTTAACATATGGTCTGCTCTAGAGAAGTAACATGTGAACTTGTAAAAAGTAAATATTTTTATGGTTTTTGTGAAGTGTTCTCTGGCATTAAATAAAATACACTGTGTTGTTCAAGTCTTCTGTATCCTATCTATAGTTGTTCTATCAACTACTAAATGAAGAATGTTGAAATGTCCAACTGTAACCTTAGATTTTTAAAATTTCTTTCAGAAATATTTTGTGGTTCTATATTTAAAACTGTCAGATATGGCTACTGCATTTTCATGTTTGTGAAATAGTAATTTTCATGTTTGTTTCATGGGTGAAATTTCTGTCTGTTGGTTGTTTTAGAATTGGGGATGGTGGTGCAGGCCTGTAATCCTAGCCCCCTCCCAAAAACAAATTCAAAAAGGGAATTGGGCAATGTTTATCTTTTTATTGTTGAATTTGAAGAATCCTATTTATAAACAAATAATACTGGTCATATCATGCAACCCAGTTTGTGATACAGAATTTGCCATTTAAAAAATGTATTCAAATACATTAATTTCCTTATAAATCTCTCCCATTATTTCTCTGCTTCTAAAGTCTGTCTACTACCATTCACACACTAG